CACCTTTAAAAAACCGGTTTTACAAAAATTCGAAAATTCTAAAAACAAAAATATGCGGAATTTTCGAAACTGAATTTTAAGGAACTCTAGAGATTCCAAAAGAAAAAGAATTTCTGAAAATTCTTCCATTCAGCGCAACTACTCAATCTTCTGTGTCCGCCAACTGACTGACAATTGTCAGGAGAACAAAGAAGTGATTCTTCGTCTGGATCAACCCACCCAATCGATAATCGATCGCAAACGATTGCTCACTGAATTCGGAATCAATGAGGATGAACTGGGAATTTGAACTTTTTGTTGTTTTTTGAAAATATTTATTGACTTTTTTGTTGACTTATAAATTTGTTTGTTTTGGTTTTTCAAATGTTTTTTGAGTTGAAAAAAAATCTGTAATTTCCTGCAGTTTTTATCTGAAATATCTGAAATTTTTTTTCTGATTTCATTCTTGAATTTATATTTTTCGGATTTTCGAATTTTTTGGATTCTAGATTACTGTAGACTATACTGTATCTTGCCTTTGACTGATTTTCACAAGGATACTGTAGCTAGTTACAGTAATCTGGAATCCAAAAAAAAACCAAATAATTTTGAAAAATTGAAAATTTCGAATTTTGGAATGTAGGTATTTTGGGTTCTAGATTACTGTAGACTACAATTTAAATTTCAAAAACTCAAAATTTCGAAAGTTCAAAGAATCGAAAGTTCTGAAATTCTGAATTTCACTAAATTCTGAATTTCACAAAATTCTGAAACTCAAAAATTCGTAAATAAATGAAAAAATTTCCAGATGAATTTCAATGATATGGAAAATTCGGTGTATGGGAATCTGGAGGAAGACGCCGAGCTGTTAGCTGAGCTCGCAGCGATACAGGCCGAAGTTAATGGCGAGAGAGCGAGGTGAGAGCTTCAAATTAAGAGCTGTTGGCGGGAATTTGAATTTTGGGGAAAAAAAACAATTTTCAAAAATTAAATGTCCAATATCAATAGAAATTCGATATTTAACCAGAGCAAAAAAGCGAAAAAGTCTGAAAATTCACAAAAAATTAGGGAAAAATTTCAAAAAATTTCAAAAAAATACCAATTTTTTGAGAGACTTTTTTATTTTTCCTTCCATTTTTTGCGCAAATTTTTAGACCTTTTTAGGGCTCTCAGCTATTTTTAAAGAGTTTTTTTTTATTTTTCCGGTTTTTTTTCGTCTGAAATTTGATGGAACGGTGTTTGATTACTGTGGATTACTGTAGAAAACTTATTTC